TTCAGCCGCTGTTGAAACTGATCAGTTTCAGCAGTGGCTGACGCCAGTTCCGACTTACATACAGATTCAACTTAAGAACAAACCTACAGTCCCTATCTTGTACGTAACCCGGGGACTGCCTGTATTTCAAAATAGATTCAAAAAATGCAATTTGCATAGCGCAAATTGCACATCTTATTTCGAGTTTAGGGTGCTGTGTAGACTCATCCTGTTGAAACTGATCAGTTTCAGCAGTGGCTGACGCCAGTTCCGACTTACATACAGATTCAACTTAAGAACAAACCTACAGTCCCTATCTTGTACGTAACCCGGGGACTGCCTGTATTTCAAAATAGATTCAAAAAATGCAATTTGCATAGCGCAAATTGCACATCTTATTTCGAGTTTAGGGTGCTGTGTAGACTCATCCTAACATGGCTACCACCTGAGACATCTCACTGTTGCTGAATCCCATACCCACAGCCCATGTCATGTATCTGCTACTTCTGACACCTTCCTTCAGCTCTCTCTTCCTCTCCTGTCTCTCTCTCTATACAAGACTTTGCTGACTTTAAAGAGAAGATGTATTTGTTCTCCCTTCATATACACATTTGACACTCCCCTCTCTCTACTTTCTCCTCCTTTCGCTGTATAGTGGCCTTGAGGTCACACATATGTTCCTAATTTCCAATCCCTCCTCCAATCCCATGGTCTCCAGTACTTCACTGTTAGGGTGTGTCTACACAGCACCCGAAAGTCAAAATTGCGTAGCTTATTTCGAGTCTATTTTGAAATACCTTATTTCATCCTTTGGCACTGTCTACACAGCAATAAATTTTGAAATACAGTGCTATTTCAAGCCATCTCTTACTCCTCGTACAATGACGTTTACAGGGATGGTGAAATAGCACATCTGCTATATTTCGAAGTAGGGGACGCATTCAAAAGATTCATGGCAGCTATTTTGGGCTACCTCTGATATCCCAAAATAACTTTGCTATGTAGACATACCCTTACTGGCCTCTCTTGCTACGTTCTTACCTACTCCTTCTTTCATCTCTTTCCTATCAGTTTTAAGGCATACCCTGTATAACACATCCTCCAAAACTACCTTTTCCCCCATCCATCTTTCTACTACCAGCCCTTCTTTTCAATAAGCAATTTATAATTGTTGCACTGACTTCCTTACCTCTAACTCATGTTTTGGTCCACTCCTATCAGATTTGTTTAACTGAAAATGCCAGCTCTTAAGTGTCACAAAACATCCTCCTGTCTTAATCAGAGGTGCTCAGTTCCATCCTCATTGACTTTCAGTACTGTTCATTAGTCCCTCCTTCTTGGTAACATCTTTCTCCTTGCCTGTTCTCTCACGATTCACCTACTTTCTCTCTGACCTCATTTTAGACATAATCTTGGATAGCTTCTTCTTCTTCCATGTGGGACTTGCACATGGCTCTATCACTGACCCCTTCACTTATATTTTACCTCTGGACAATACTGTCTGTTACCATGGTTTCTACTGCTTGCACAGGGTACCAAGTTTAAACTAGCCATGCTCTGCTTCAAGCCTCTGTTCAACTCCACCTTGACCACACATCTGATCCTTTTCACTGTATCACTCATTTCTTCTTCCTTTACTGTCAACACTGCCATTCTCAACATTCTGCAGCTCGTGCATTTTCACCGTGTCACATGCTGCCCCTGTGTACACAATGGCTTCCCTTCCTTATGTTGCAGGAAGAAACCCCTTTCACATTAAAATCTCTTCTAAAACACACACACACTTATTCCATGAGGCATACTACTACCTCTCAGGCCGTATTTTAAAGCCCCCTTTGTCCTCATGGCTCAAGCACAGAGCACAGCTCAGTCATACTTTAGGATTGGGTCCTTTATTTCTAAATTTGACCCGCTGTAGCAGGTTCACTTACTTTCTGCACGGCTTCTTCCCTCAGGGTGGCTTTGGGGAAGTAGCTGGCCGCTCCGATGCCGACGCACCCCCTTTGGGTGAGGTGTTCTCTTCAGGGCATTGCCCTCTGGCAGTGACCATTCCAATCTTGGTCTGCCCCCCCTGCCAAGGGGGTGGTCATTGTTCTTCCTTCAGACCTCCTTCCAGGGTCCTCCCTACTCTCTAGAACCCTAGTTCTTCCTGAGAACACCCAGCTCCCTCCTGGAACACACAGTTCCTCAGCACCCTCCAGGCCTCAGTGGCCCACTACCAGTCCCTCTCTAACCCTGTCTCCAGGTGGACCGTAGTCTCTCCCAGCCATTCCTCCCTGGCCAAAGGCACGCCTCTGCCTTCACAGTTGCCTCCTGCAACCCTGTCTTGTGGTCTTATGGCATGGGACTTCCCTGGCTCAAACTCACCCAGCCTACCGCAGCCATCTCCTTGCAGCCCGGACTTTTAGGGCTGCCTCCATGTGAGCACCGCCCTCCATGACTGCCACCTTGCAGCCCTGGGCCTCAGGCTACATAGCCTGGGTTTGCTAGGCTAAGGCCACTCTCATTGCAGGCAGACAGGTCTCTCTCTTCCTCCCAGGAGCTGCTCTTATAGTTTCCAGCTGGGCCCTCCTTATCTGCCTCAGCTGGGCTTCCCCCTGACTCCAAGTCTCAGCCCCTTAAAGGGCCAATGCAGGCCAATGCCCTGCCACACCGCCTTAGAATCATGGTAGCTGCTGGTAGAATGATCATATATAAGTGTAACCTGAGACAGCCTTTCCTGAATGAGAATGACTAGCGTTAAGAAAGAATATAATGAAAAATCAAACTGAAGCAATCTAAAAGTGGAACAGAGATGAAAATGTAATAAGCTGTTAATTCCTCAGGATTATCATTTTAGATAAATATAATTTCTGCTGCAACAATAGGTGGCATTTAATGGCACAAGTTGGGAACTCTCTGTAGAACAGTAAGCCTATTTGGTTCATGGGATGTATATTCTTGTTCTCTTCACTAATGAGTAATGTTGACTAAGAAACATAATCTGGGTAAAAGTCATATGGTCAACAGACTCACCCCAACAGAAAAAAGTGAGATAGATCTCATCAGGTATACCCTTCATACCTGTTATATGTATGTGATATTCTTCCTTGAAGATCTTTTGGAAGTAAGGTAGTTTAAACTGCATATGTGCAGATGGCAAGCCGGGAAGATTTACATCAACATCACCCATGAAATGTGGAAACTCCCAATCCTGTTAAAGAAAGAACAGAAAATATAACTTCTCACAATAATACTATCTCCCTACAATGTTCCAAATTAATAAAGGACACAAATTTCAACAAGTAATATTGTAAAATACCAAACTGGAGAAATTCCAGAGAAGAACAATGAAAATGATAAAGCAATTAGAAAATCTGACCCGGGAAGAAAAGTTTAAAAAAATGAGGCATGTATAGTTTTGAGAAAAGAACATTAGGAAGTAGGGAGAGGACAACCAAATAACCATCTTTTAATATAGTAAGAGTATTTGCAAAGAGAATAGTGATCAGTGTTTTACATTAGGGATGTAAGTGACTAGACTAGTAGTCGACTACCTGATAGCCAGTTTCCCCCAGCACTGTTTCTGTGGTGCCGCCTATCCCAAGTGTGGGGGAAAGGGAAGATTCCGTGAAGTAGCTTCTGCCTGCAGCAGATTCAGCCTCGCCAAAAGCAGAGGCTGCTCCACATTCCACGGACAGAGGCTGCTGCTGGAATAGCATCTGTTCGCAGCCAGCCCCGGTCATCACAGATGGGCTTGTGCCACGAAGCAATCCCTGTCCATGATGGCCCAGGCTGGCCATGAACACAGGCTGTTCTGGAAGCAGCTGGCGCGAGGCTAGACTGAGCAAGCCTGGCTCAGTCCTGGATCTGGGACTTGCTCAGTCTGAATCAGTCCTGGCTTTTGCCAGGTCCAGGACCTACCCCTGCTACAGCTCTGCCGTTTAAATACAGGAGGAGCCAGGCTGTCTGCACACTCGGCTCCTACTACATTTAAATTACATTTAAATTGCAGAGCCACAGCGGGGGTAGCTCCTAGACCAGGTGTGAGCTGGGACAAAGTGCCTTCCTTTATCAACTAATCATGAAATCGATACTAATTGTATTCACTACATGATTAGATAATTACCCGCCTCTTAACATGGTTATTTTACATGCCCTTTGAAGGGAGGACAAGAAGTAAGTGGGTAGTAAGGGAGGTTTATGTTAATTATCAGGGACAGTTAAGCACTGGAAAAGGGAAGTTACAGAATCCCCATCACTGGAGATTTTTAAGAACAGGTTGGAAAAACAGGAATGGTCTGGGTATACTTGGTCCTGTCTCAGCAAAGAGGGTGGGACAAGATAGTCTCTCAAAGTTCCTTCTAACCCTATATTTCTATGATTCTGTTATTTTCTTTTATACCCCCCTGCTTCTGGATATTTCTGTCTTAATCTGCCACCTGAACTGGAATATTGTTTACATTAGAAATATATGATTTGATGATGACTTTTTAAATGCATATAATTATGTACTTAGATATGCTAAACCTTTAGTATCTAACTCTTAGCTCCTGTGATTAACTTGGCAAACAATTTACAGATAACAAATCTGGCAATCAGTGGCCTCATCCTGAAAGTACTGTGCACACAGAAGTCCAACAGAAGACAATTGCTCCAAATGTGTGTGTGACTTCTCACAGATGTAGCATGGTGGAACACACTGCAATAATGACTGGTCCAGTTTTTGAAAAATGAATCCATGACCAGTTTTAATGTGCATATTAATCTACTTACCTTAATTTTTAAAAACATTATTAAATCAAAAAGTCATTCAAATTATCAATGACATGTACAAGACACAAGAAGCCTTAGCCATAATAGGGGATATTAAAATACTATTTTTCCATACTAGGATAGAACTTACCTTAAGTTTTGCTTATATCACAAGATAATTCATTTTAGTTGTGTTAATCATGTATTGCTGCATAGGCAGTTTCATAAAACAATATAAAACATATAAATGCCCTCACCACTGTTTCACGTATTAAATTTGGCAAAGATGTTGACTTGATAATAGCAATCATCAAGGCAACAAATGTCAGATCTGTTGACTGATATATGCTGGGCTAATACATATGACATTACTAATATGTGCCATTCACATCCCCTACATTAATATGCATTAAGTACACAATATCAATATAACATTACATTGCATACATTTCCAGCAGTTGCATGTTCTAAATTGCCTTTTTACAATCCTGTTTATTTATGCTAAATATCCCATAAAATTGCAAAGTTGGAATCAATTTTGGCATTAAAAACTTGTCAAAAGCAAAATACATTAATGTTCTGTTCCTGTACAAGCTGGGGAGGTACCTTTCTGGACCAGTACCTGGAATGGTAATACTCAAAACAAAAACAAGGAAAACACAAGTTAGACTGGCACGATTTTCCGCAAATGCTTTTAACGGAAAAAGAGCGTCTAGATTGGCATGGACACTTTTCCGCAAAAGCACTTTTTGTGGAAAAGCGTCCATGCCAATCTAGACGTGCTTTTCTGCAAAAAAGCCCTGATCACCATTTTCGCGATTGGGGTTTTTTTGCGCAAAACAAATCTGAGCTGTCTACACTGGCCCTTTTGCGCAAAAGCTTTGCGCAAAAGGACTTTTGCCCGAATGGGAGCAGCATAGTATTTCTGCAAGAAGCACTGACTTCAGACAGTAGGAAGTCAGTGTTCTTGCAGAAATTCAAGCGGCCAGTGTAGACAGCTGTCAAGTTTCTCCGCAAAAGCAATTGCTTTTGCAGAAAAACTTGCCAGTCTAGACACAGCCAAGAAGAAAAAGCTAAGAATTGGGAATGATGTATTGGATTTTAGTAATATGTAAGGGGCTATGTATCTTGTAAAATCATCCAATAAATATTAATAGCTGAAAAGTATGTGTTTGAGGGCACACCTTCTCTGTGAGATGAATTTAAATAGCCTGCATGAGAAGCTTCCTGAAAACTGGTATCGGATTAAGCCTTTCTTCCTGTACTATATTATTATTGACTTTTAGTAATAAATCGGACTGATATTGGTTATTTAGCCTTAAATATTTTTCACAACAAACCAAAGGGTGGTGGTAAAGCAATTGGCTATACAATTTTATTAATAGTCCTCAAACATAATCTGTCTCAATGAACTCAAATACTTCCTCCTAATTACTTGTTTGCACAGCTATAGTCATATTGGTCCCAGGATACAAAAGAGACAAGACAGGGGAAATAATATCTTTTACTGGACCAACTTTTGTTGGTGGAAGGTACAAGCTTTGGAGCTACACGGAGCTCTTCTTCACATCTGGGGAAGGAAGCAGTGTCCGAGCTAAATACAAGTTGGCACAGACTATCGAGAGACAAGGTAACATGTTGGAGGCAGCCACTCGAAATGAAGGGGGCAATTGGGTGCTCGATTATCATGCATGAAGGTTTTGAATCAGGCATTGTGGTGCATGACAATGTGTTAGAATGAGCCAGTCTCCCTGTTAAGGCAAGGGGCTTTTGGTGGCTACCAGAGTTAGGAATTTAAATACCCAGGTTCACCTTTTGAAGGTGAGGTGAAGGTTTCTCTTGAGGACAAAGATGAGATATGGAATGATCACTTGTGGAAAGTGTTTACCCACAGGTGCTAGGTTTTTTTTTTTGCTTTTATAATTTTTCTGTATGAGTTCATTTGAGAGTACAGTGATTGTCTCATTTCACCTACATAGATGTTTTGGGGGCATTTGATACAACAGACAAGGTACACCACATGTTGTTATAACTATACATACGATGAACAGATAGCAAGTGTGAAAAACCGGGACAAAGGGCTTGTGGTAATAGGCACTGTAGAAGAGAAAGCCCCAAAGATCGGAACCATCCCTATAAAATGATTTATCAATGATTTAGATAATGACATAGGGAGTACACTTAGGCTACATCTACACTGGCAGCTTCTTGCACAAGAACTGTTTTGCAGAAGTGTTCTTGTGCAAAAAGTCTTCCACAAGAGCATGTCTACACTGGCACGTGCTTTTGCTTAAGAGCATTCATAGCAGTGTGCACGCTCTCTTGTGCAAGAAAGCTCTAATGGCCATTTTAACCATAGGAGCTTCTTGCGCAAGAAATTCATGTTTCCTGTCTACACTGCTCTCTTGTGGAAGAGCTCTTGTGCAAGAGGGCTTATTCCTCGTGGGGAGAGGAATAACTCTTCCGGAAGAAGCCCTGTTTTACAACGCTATACTGTGAATTTACTTGAGCAAGAATGTACGTGCAGTGTAGACAGCAGGCAACACGTGCAGTGTAGACAGCAGGCAAGTTTTTGCGCATGAACGGCTGTTCTTGCGCAAGAAGCTGCCAGTGTAGACATAGCCTTAGGGTATATCTACACTATAGAGGAAGATCGAAGCTGCTGCTCTCAATCTTCCAGGGTTCAAATTAGCTGTCTAGTTAAGAAAGCCAATTCAAAGTGAGAGGAGTGCTCCGGTTGATGCCACTATCTATATGATGGTAGTCTCTTGAGGCCCCAATCCAGCCGGTGCCCTATTGTGCAAGGCACTGCATTTGGTGGAATTTTCCTATTTAATTACATATCAGCTAAGCTCTAGAGTGGTGTGGAGGAAGCTCCAACCCTGTTGGTTCCCAGCTTAGCACCTTCTTCATATGCTGACTGACCCCTGTCCTAGGTTCTGCCTCCAGGGAACATGTTGCTGCTCTGACTCCTAGGCACTTTCCCCAGCTGAGCCACCTTTCTGGCTGGGTTCTCTGAAGCCGCTGCTGCTAGGTCCCATGGGCCGTGGGGCAAAATGTGTCCTTAGGGATTAACCGCTTCCTGCCCAAGTTGTAGCCAGTATGAAATAGGGTATAATGGCATGTTCCTTTAAGCCTAGAACCTGAAAACTCTAGTAGTGCTGACAGATTCACTCTAATTGCTGCCTGAGTAGTTACAGTGTGAGCTGCAGACCACTGAAGCTCTGCTGATAAAACAGGATTGGATCTGTTCCCGTATATGCACCTGGACTTATGTCACATAGGAGGGTACAACAGATATCTGAACTACTAAAAATAAAACAAAGGAACCAGCTGCCTAAGAGGGTACAGGGTGTTTGATTCACATGGACGCTTGCCCTATGTAATCATCTAACTTGAATAATCATTGCCATTTTCTCCAGGATGGGGCAGTGAAAAAGGAAAATTGTCAGCAACAAC